ACACTTGACTCGGAGCGTATGGTTGTCACATTTTATTTTAGTTGTACCTACCGGTTGTAAACATAATTAAAGAAATACCTTTGTTAAATGCAGTACTTACTATTTTTGTTTTTTCTTTTATACCAGCATCGCGAATTGGTGTGTCGATTTCGGGAGGGATATGAAATACAAATCTACACACATCAAAAGTGTCTAGGGATCAAGTACGTTTAAGAGTATTGCTGCAATTAGGGTTAATTATATTAACTTTTTTGTATCGCTATTGATACTTTTTAGTGAGTTTTAACATTTAAATAAGGAATATTGTTTAAAATTCGATAATAAGAAGAAAATCGATTGTCAATGTGGTTTTGTATAAAAATGAGTTATAGCGTTTTGACAAAATCATTACAATATCTGCATCGGAACCGAAACAATTTACATTATTATGGAGAGACGACATCATTTAACCCGAGAAGTGATGATGCGAGCCGTCGGAATGTTGGAAGCTGGTTCCAGGCAACGTGCTGTGGCTTTCACTCTTAACACTACACAGAGCGTCATAAGTCGCCTCTGGACGCGCTATCGCATGACGGGCAGCGTGGCCGAGCGACATGGAGGACGATCTCGCATCACGACTCGCAGACAGGACCGGTATATCCAAAATACTGCTCGACGGAATCGTACCATGACCGCCATGATGTTGGTTACGAGGCACCACAGCTCCTCAGGCTTGCTAATAAGCGATCAAACAATCCGAAATCGTTTACGTGAAGTGGGTCTGCGATCCCGAAGGCCGCTCAGAGTTCCACCTATTGCACCCTGCAATCGCAGGACCCGTTTACGATGGGCTCGTGAACACAGAAACTGGGAGGAAGAAGACTGGCGCTATGTGTGCTTTTCGGATGAATCCCGCTTCGGTATGAGACCGGATACAAGACGTACTCGAGTTTGGAGAACATCTGGACGTCATGAACGTTTGAGATATTGTCAGGAAGTTCATCCATATGGTGGGGGAACAATAATGATATAGGCCGGTATTTGGATCGGCGGAAGAACCGATCTCATTTGGATCAGGGGTAACCTCAATGCTCAAGTTTACGCAGAGAGGATTGTTTCTGATGTTGTCATCCCTTTGCGAGGCCAGTTGGGTGATTCAATGACAACGCACGTCCAAACATGGCTAAAGTCGTAACACGCATTCTTGCCGAAGCTCGTATCAACGTTCTGCCGTGGCCTGCTCAATCGCCAGACCTCAATCCAATTGAGCACGCATGGGATATGCTTCAAAGAAGAGCTGTGCCGAGTATGCATACCGTACATACTCTACAACAATATTTTGACTTGTTACAAAACACATGGGCGGCCATTCCTCAAAGTGATTTTGATGAACTCATCTTAAGCATGCCAAATCGCTGTAATTGTGTGATTCGTGTTAATGGTGGAAATACAGATTATTAATTTTCTTATCTTTACAATAAAAATGAGCAAAATCATCATTTTCGCCATTTTTTGTCATTTAATTGACGCCGTTAATTTGAGTTTTTTCCCACAATTTGCAACCACATCAATTTTAGTTTATTTTAATTAAATATAGGGGTAAGCGGTTAAATAAAACATAAGCATTAATTGTAAGTCAATGGCATTAAAGTAAGAAGTCGTCCTGGAAGACTGGATTTGGTAAATATTGCTTAAATAATTTTTATTTCAAAAATATTCACTTGATCCCTAGACACTTTTGATGTGTGTAGTTCAAAATAACCATAAACACGTCACACTTGATAACATTTTAACCGACAAAAAAGGAGGAAATTCTCAATTCGACTAGAGTTTTTTGGTGTATAATAGCAACTAGTAATCAACAACCCCTCGTGGAGAGGCGAAACACGTGTCGGGCATATTTTTTGAGGTGGTGTTTGTTACTGTAGTCGCGCTTATGTTATTTATTTTATTAATTTTATGAGGAGGGAGTATGGGATAATAAACTGCATGAAAAAATATTCAACAAAAGCGCACACGCTAAAAACAGATTACTTAGAAAAAGACAAAATTCTTTTTATAAAGACAAAAAAACGACTCCAAAGTGTATTTTAGTTATAAGACAGAAATATTTAATCCAAGAGCAAATTAATTTACTTCAAGCATTGACTTACTTCAAGTCACAAAGCCACTCTAAATTCAACAAAATATTTATTAGTTCTTAGAATTGTCCGATTTAGACTTGAAAAAAAAGAATGTAAAACTGAGAGGTATTTAATTATTTGACTGAAAATTTATGTTTTCTAATATCAAAAAGAGTAAATTTACAGGGTTATGGACCCACCCAACAGTATGTCTCACTGGTGTGAAAGCGCACACAGTTCAGTGCCAAACCTTTAAGTTACAAATAGGACGGAATCTCCCCAATTATTTGAGGTACATTCAGTGCGGTATAAACATTGACTTACAAATAAATGGACGACGGGTCTAATACAAAAACCACGAAAAAAGTGTCCCAAGTCAACCTATTCGAAATTTAAATTGTTATATCATCGCAGTATCGCGCTGTCCGTAGAACAAATGAAGACTAAAGCGGAGTGTCGCGCTCTGTATACGATTTTAGCGCCTTACAAGTGCGGACACTTTTTAGCGCGGACCCGACGTCCATATAATTGTAAGTCAATGGGTATAAATGCTACAGCGACAGTAAGCACTAACAATTCAAAATATATGAGATGACTTATACTATTGAAGTTAACAAAACGATAGCGCGTTTCAGAGTACAACTAATGCCATCTAGCAGTGGCGTGATGGAACTAATTGCATGTTAATGTTGTGCTTATTACAAGTGTAGTTTGTTTTCATGCTGAAACCAAATTTCTTAAATTATGACTACAAATAACACACTAACAAACTAGAGATACTACTTATTGCTTCTTTGGATAAATGACTGTTTATGATTTTTATGAATACAAGCACAAGTAAAAGTAATCATGTCACGGCTATTTTTCGGCATTGAAAACGCAACGAAATGTTGCTTTAAAAATGTACTCTAGAATTTAGAATATTAATCTGAATAGCAAACTACTTCTTTTTTTGTTTAAGAATATATTTTCTTAAAACACACCCAAGAAATGTTGAATTCATTTAAGATTATTTAAATTTGATGTAAGAGGTAAAAATTTCTTGATGTAAGTAATGTCCAATTAATTGATTAGAAATGAAATAAAATCTTGAAGTGAAAGTATTTGTCTAAAAGTTAGAATAAAGTTAAGAGTAAAATTGTATTAGAAAAAGATAAGCAGTGTTTTTGTAATGACAATATTTTAACATTTTTAATAAATATTTTTTCAGAATTAGCAAACATTTTGAGAAATTGCTATTTCTTATTAGTAGAAATCCTTTTTTTCTGTGCAGCTATTTTGCACGATTTTACCTTCACCCGGTCCGGAATTTATTCGCAAATTAATTTACTTCCCTTTTTTTATGTAATAATCGCGCAAATCTGAACACTTATACCTCGAGTCTTCGATTTATAATAGCAATTATCGTTAAGAAAAACCTTCAAAACATCTTATCATCAAAACAATAGGTATTTTTTACGAGAACGTTTTTTTAGACGTATCGCGAATAAAGAGACGCCTTACATTTTTATTATCTAACGTCACATTAAGTAGAATAGCCCCATAAAGAGCCCCGATTTGGCGACAAGTCGCAGATTCGAGTCCAACCAGCGTCCTGCAGCTTTATTGCCTCTCCTGATCGGAAACTGCGTCTTTTCCGAGTCGATGATCGGTCCGATCGGGTAGTCTCGAAATCAGACGATTTTCTGAACGAGAAGATGAACCTGATTCCTACTATATCTTTCTAATTTGTGAGTTAAATCACCTATTGTTCCGATTATAAATGTCAAAAGTTTCCGATCGGACAGTTGTGAATCGCAATTATGCGCCTCGACTCGGAAAAGACGCAGTTTCCGATCGGGAGAGGCAATTAAAATCAAGCTGCCGATTAAAGGAAATTTGCTCTGTTTGTTCGATCTTTCTCGGACTTTATATGTGAAATTTAATTTGAAATTTACCATGAGCTTTTCGGTGAAGGAAAAGAAAAAGATGGTTCACAACTCTCGGAAAACGTAGGAAGTCCCCAACCCGCACTGGGCCAGCGCGGCGGATATGGCCTAAACCCTCGTCTGAAAGGAAACCTGTGCCCAGCAGTGGAACGTGTAAATGGGTTGATCATGATCAACGTCTAATAATAATCGTACAGCGCCTCAACTACTTATATTTTATTGAATGTCAGAATGTTTCAGGACCATAATATTATTCAATTATTTTTTGTGAAATTACTACTTTTGTTATAATTATTAATACGGTTCGAATCCCGCCGGATCTTTGTATTAGTAAAATGTATTGACATTCAATAAAAAACATTTAATTACAAGTTAATAGCGACATCTCTAGCACAAGGCTGGTAGCTGTAAAGGTATCTAACTGGGTGACGAAATACTTTCATAGATTTCTCATAGATGACGCTACGGCTAAAAAGTCGTTGAAAACCAAGTACAAAGATCAGACAAAACTAGCACATAAATAAATTCGTGAGGTCCGCTAGTTCGTTCCGTGGCTTAGTTGGCACAGCGTTTGATACGGTTTGCTAGAACACGTCGGTTTGAATCCGGCCGAATCCGGATCGAAGGTTTATTTTCTGAGTGTTCGGTCTTTGTATCAATAATTATGTATACAGTAGTTGGCCAAAACTTCTTAACTTTTTACGTGCGCACATGCAGACGTGTGTCATGTTTTTTTTTAAAATATAACGCACACACTCAGAATAGCCCTGCACTAGGTAAAGCCTGTGTCGCGGGTGCCATGAACACACACATAGACAGCCACAAATTACACCCAATCTCTTCTGTTTCTTCTGAAACAGACGAGTTTGCTGCCACTGCCGGAAATCGAACCTGGGACCTCTGCGTGGCAGTTCGGCATGGTAAACGTTCGGCCACAGAGGCAGGTAAAATGTAAAATAAAATAACTCACTTTAATTGCATCCATTTGCTGGTCAGCGGCGGTCAATTCGTCACCCGCCACTATTGCGAACTTGGTCCATCCGAAGGCGCGCAGCAGCGCCACGACGGATTTGCTGACTTTGTACGCCGGCGGCAGCGTGCGCGCAAAGGTCACCCCGAGGCCTGCGCCTGCTCCGTGAGACGACCGCGCACCCGCACATTTCTGGAGGACAAAAAGATTTGCTTAACTATTTCTATAAACAGTTCAACAGCTAAATACTCGTATATGTAAATTTATATATTTCAAGAAGTGTCGTCGTCTCTTAGGTCCCGCGTTCGATCCCCGGCCGGGTCAATGAAGGAAAATCAATATTGTCTCTAGTCTGGATGTTTGAGATACCATCGTTTCTTCCGATTTCCGTAACACAATTACTTTAGTTAAGTGCTTTGGGATCAAAGCTACGTATGTGGTGTTGTCTAATACGAGGGTTGCCTTTTATATTTCCGGATTTGGCAACCTTAATGTTGCGATCTGGCAATCAATCATCGTTTAGTTTGACATTTTTGGCGGCAAACGTATTCAAAACATTTTGACATCCGAGCTTATTTGTGTCGTTTAAAATTATTTGAAAAATTCCAAACAAAAACATTTTCCTGCGATTATTTTTTACAACTTTAGAGGTGGATTAACTCAACAAGACTGCATTGATGAACGTAATTCGACTTTTGACGATGAAGCTTCATCAAAAACTGGTGTTTATCGATAGTTTTCGTAATTCAAACGAGACCGTGGTTCACTCAAAGACGAATTTCGTGAAAACCGTAAAAAATTGTTAGTCTGGAAAACATAATGCTGTGCGAGAACAGATATTGCAACATCGTCATGTGGCCTATCATGAGATTGAGGCATCCCTGGGCATTAGTAGGACTAGCATTTATTCAATTTTGCATGACCATTTGGTCATCAAAAAGATTTATTCGCGTTAGACCCCACATAGTTTGACGATCGCTCAAATTAAGGGTCTTGTCGATAGATCGAAAGAAATGCTAAAAAAATACGATTGCAGTACTTTAAAAGACGTCTATGATATCACATAACAGGTCACAATTCGTGAATCTACGCGTATGAGCCTGAAAGTAAACAGCTGTCGACTGTATGGGTTTTTCAAGATGAGCCCAATCCAACGAAAACTGTTCGTACACGAAGCAATTAATCGCCTGTTTTTACGGAAAGAATGGATATTTTACAATCGCAACATTAGAACAAATTTTAACGGTCAATTCTGAATGGCACGCAACCATTTATTTGCCAGTTGTCAGTGAATAAATAAGAAAGACCACTTGCCGAAGACGGACTGCGGCTCACCCTTCAAATCGGAACGCAGTTAGCAACATTACCGCCTGGCGACAGAAATAGGTAAAGTAGCAGTCCTTCTCTGTACAACTTTTTCACAAAGATCTCTACTGCTAAATGTCAATGGTATGAGGATGAGAGGCTGGTCTACAGCGGGATGGATGGATCAGCTGAAAGTAGAACCAAAATTCATTTCTTGTAACACAGAGACAACTGATTTACTTCAAAAACACTTATACTGGACATGATCCTCAGCCATGCTAAAGGAAAGAGAGAGAAAAGTTTTGTAATCATAATTATGGATGTGGCTCTTATAGTGTAGTGAAGCACAAAATCTGCCAAACAAACAAGTCTTGTGGGAGCCCAAAATACACACAAAAGTTTGATTCTATTTCAGACATTAAGAAATCTAACTCAAAGATATTCCACTGTAACAATCTAGAAATGAATATCAAAGGTCATGGTAATATCAGATTATCGTAAACTGATTTAGTATCAAAGTTACACGTGTTCAAAGGACCAAATTTATGTTAATTACAATTAACAGGTAATATTTTCCATAAATTATCTAAAAGCATGATTGAAAATCCTCAAAAACAAAAAGGATTCAGCTTGGCTGGGCAGCGTTTGGTAAACTACGTCGAGTCTTCTCGTCACCCATACCGCAAAGTTTGAAAACAAAGATTTGTCAATCAGTGCGTTCTAACTGTTATGACATACGGAGTCGAGACGTGAACACTCACGATACGGTTAGTTCACCAGTTGAAAGCCGCTCAGACAGCTATAGAACGAGCTATGCTCGGAGTTTCTTTGAAGGACAAGGTACGGAATGAGGTTATCCGACAGAGAACTAAAGTCGTCGACTTAGCTGGTAGAATAAGCAAGCTGAAGTGACATTGGGCTGGTCATATCTGTCTAAGAACCGTTAACCGTTGGGGGAAGCGAGTTCTTGAGTGGAGACCACTGCTCGGCAAACGTAGTGTAGGACGCCCTATGGCCAGATGGAGTGACGATTTGCGAAGGGCTGCTGGCAGCAGATGAATGCAACGAGCTAAGGACCGGGAGAAATGGCGCGCATTGGAAGAGGCCTATGTCCAGCACTGGACTACGATAAGGTGTTGATGATGATGATGATAATTGAAAAACATTTGATACAATATCAGTTTATTGAATATCACGATATTTTACTACTATGATATTTAATTATTCTTTGGGAAATTACTCCACTAGTTTATTATAATTGTTATATTTATATACATATACATATAACCCGGAGTATAACCGTACAGGGAGACATTGTGGGAAACTCCCTCGTCACTAATTGTGTCAGGAATTATTCGATAATTGGTCTATACGTTCTTCGTTATCTATTCCTTAAGCCGGCGGTGAATAATAACGTCAAAATAGTTAAACTTAGAGCCGAAGGGTTTGTAAGTGCACATCTTAGACTATTGGTTTATTTTTTCCATCCTCTAAGGTGCACATCACAACCGGCGACCTGTCAAAATGCTATTCCGCCGAAAAACTGACACAACTCCATTCGGTGTTACCCGCTCTAAAATAATAATAACTACAGTAATTGATTTAGTGAATAAACTAAGTACTCGACACCTCGATTTCTTGATTCAATAACGCGTTATTATATTATGTAATTTATAATTGTTATATACAAAGGCCGAACACTAAGAAAAATTCCTTCGATCCGTCTGGATTTAAAGCAGCGTCAGCATACCGTCCTAGATGTAATGTAATCAAATTATTTGTTTTAACCACTTTTTATGGAAAAAAGATTGAACAGCATTTTGGTATCGTTGAAATTGACCAGATTGTCATCTCTCCACTGAGAGACGAGAGCTCAAGTTCGTCCGCTCTACTATGGCCTCTCTCAATGAACGGATGACTACCCTGCCACCTTTTGTAATTAACAGACAACTCGGTAACATCCGTAATCGTGCTGTCATCTGCATATCCAAGAACACCACACATCACAAACCTGGGACTAGCAGATCATTGATATACAGCTAGGAAAGAGTCGGTGATAGAATCGACCCTTGAGGAACTCCGGCGTCGATAGCCATCAAGTCAAATGAATATGCCTATTCTTAACGAACGTTCAGTCATATTGGAAGGAAATCTGATATCCAACTACAAAAGTCAACAGGGATGCCGTAAGCAGGAAACTTGCTCAGCAGACTACCGTGCCGAACTCTATCAAAGGCCTTCAGGATATCAAGTAACGCGGCCAGTACCTCACTGTGTTTCTCCATGGTCTCGGTACAGCAGTGCGTAACATATATACATACACAGAAGATCGCCCCCGGCGAAAGCCATATTAATGATCGCTGAGTAGGAAGTTCGTTTCATGATATGACAGCTGCTTGCATTTATATTGTATAGATATATAGCTATTACTCTTTTTTTAGTTCTATTTATGTTAATTTGCATTGTATATTGTTAAGAAATATAAATTAGTTTTATCAGTTCAAATGGAAACAAAAGCAAATAACAAATAAAGTACATACATTATTGTAGACAATTATAAATTTGTATTCGGATGCATTCGGATATCCGAAGTTTGCCGAGACATATTTAAAAAATAATAATAATGTACCAGACAACTACACCAATTGCCTGGCGTGAAGGTAGGGAATTCCCTGTACTATGAATACCGTAGCACTCGAATTCACTCCGGGGCACTTCTCAAAACAGCCAGACTACAACCAAATTAGAAACGTTCATTTTCCAAATTGGTGCTACCGGAAATCTCTTTATCCACCGCCCACAGTACAAACCAATGAGCTACCGAGGTCTTCAAAATAGTTGTACTGTAACACACGCTATTTACGACGTAGCGTCTATTATACGTCAAAATTCGTCACAATCACTGAACCGTAAGTGATGTCAACGCCCACGGGTGTTTCATTTTCGTCCCACCACTGAGTTGATGAAAATTACTTAACCGAAACTGATCGTTGCTAATCTCGTATTAAAATGATTACTACGTATTCTCCTTATTTACGCTCTTAGAGATCGCAAATTAATCAATGCATATTTTTTGACATTCGCCAGCTAATCATATCTGCAAGTCCACTCAACAAATTGAAATTCCTTGCAATCTTAAACTTTATGTGATAACAATAACTTCTAATTTTGTATGAGCAATTGCGGCGTCATTGTCCTATTGGAATGACATGGTATGATGGTATGACGGGCTAGTTTCCGCAATTCAACGTCAAGGCGTCTATTTTTTTAGGACGAATAAGTCATGCACCTGATGGTAAAAGACACGCCTATCCATAACAGTGCCACTCAGAGCTTTAAATCGCAAAAATCTGAGGGACACTGCCACAGCGACCGACCACCCTGAGACTAAATTGAAAAGTCCAATGTGTCTGTAATTTCACCAGCACCCTTACCCCGTAAAACCGGAACGCAGTAGGTAGTGCTCACATTACTGCTTGGAGACAGAAATAGTTAAGGTGGCAATACTTCCCTGGACGAACTCTTATATACAAGTTTTTTTAATAAAAAAATATGAACTCATTTGATCTCCATCTCGCTTGATAGAAAGTGACGATGAGGTCCACGATGGAGCATGCCTATTCACTTTCGCTTTAAAAAAGCCCAAGTTACAGCGTTCGGGGAAAAAGTCAACAGGTAGAGAATTTTATTCCGTAGCCGGTCGCCATATAAATGTGAATGGAGACTACATACTACATAAGTATGGAGACTATACCCGTTCGGGCGGTACCTATAAGGGTACGGTTATTTGCACATGTTGATTTCCGTACATTTACATACATTTAATGTTCGGTGGTTTCAGTCCGTTTTGTCGGAGCCAACATATAATGTCGCGGAGATTTTGTATA